GCCAGGAAACTACACTCCATAAAGTCTACTTAAACTCTTTCTAATTTCAACCAAACTTCCATCAATCACCATATAGGCAAAGTCTACATTCTCATGGCTGAATTTTAATTATCATCAAGTATCAATCTCATCAAAACTTCTCAAAAACATAAGCACATACATACATGTACAAATCTCTACAAACTTACTCAAATCAAACTTAAGGTTGGATTTACTTACCTTGTGCTTGAGTAATTTCACTAGAATCTCTCTTTCTTTGGTAGACTTGTTCTTTCTCTAAAACCCTAAGCATAAACACTATAAGAATTCAACACTTTAAAAAATTAATCTCACATCTATTGCAAGAATTCTTACCTTTGGGTGCTTAGGATCAAATCTCTACCAAAATCCAACCAAAAGCCCTCTAAAGTCCCTTGGAAATTTGATAAAGAGATGAGAGAAATTGAGAGTGAAGTGGCGTGAGAGGGAGTAGAGAATGATAGGGTCCTTTTGCTTGAACTCTTAATATCTCATATTAATATGCATACTTTCCCATTTTGCCCTTGCACTTTCTTTAAAATTCCATCTATGTCCCTTAGTCAATTACTATAATGCCCTCATTTTTCATACATTCTCCATGAAATTCTACCTTTTTTCACTCCCCACTTTTCGAACTAATTTTGAGTGAAAAGACCATTTTACCCTTAATGCAAGTTTAAGGCATTTTCTTCACACTTGTTCAAGATAACTTTAACAAAATTCAACTAAAGGTATTAGGGAATACGTAAAGCTACGTACCTCGATGTGGGCATTATAGCCATACTTTGGGTTTATCAACCATGAATGTTGTGCTGGCAATGAAATCACCAATCGAATAGTGTCGTGCCTTGCTCATGTGAAAAACTTCTAAATAATTGACTCCAAATGCTTGTGTATAGCCCAGCTTTGTATTCATCAACTTTTCTCTTCTCATTCAATTTTGTCTTATAAATCCATTTGACTCTAATGGTCTTATCTCCTTCTAGAATGTCAGTCAATTCCCAAGTATCATTCTTTTCAATTGTTCTATCTCTATTGCCATTGCTTTCTTCCATGTTTTATGTTTGGCAGCATCATTGAAAAGTATAGGATCACTATCTACAAATAAAGCAAGGTGAGCAATGGTATCACCATCAGATAGTTCATCCCCACTTACATAATCTGCCATCCAAAAAGGTCGTTTCCTTGAACGTTGATCCGTTGATCCATTGAGCCTTTTGGTTGATCCTCAATGGATTCATTTGCTGTTGGAACATTTGTTGAGATTTCTCCAGTAGTTTGTACTTCTTGCGTGCTCTTGCTTTCATCATTTGTGTCCAAATCAAAAGAGATTGATTTATCTCTTGCAAAGCTCCAGTCCCAACTGCAATCTTCATCAACCACAACATCTCTACTGATTATGATCTTCTGAGTAACTAGATTGTACAGTTTCCTTGGATTCTTCACTCACACCAAGGAACACACATTTCACTCCCTTGTCATCAAGCTTGCTTCTCTTTTGATCAAGTACATGAGCATAGGCTAAGCTTCCAAATATCTTGAAATGATCAACTACTGGTTTGTGTTTACTCCATTCTTCTTCTAGTGTCATGTTTTTAACATCAAATATGGGGCTTCTATTTAGGTTATGGGCACTCTAATTTACAACTTTAGGCCAAAAGATTTTTGGAACATTCTTACTTGCCAACATGCTTCGCACCATTTTCATGATTGTACAATTTTTCCTTTCAGCCACGTTGTTTTGTTGTGGTGAATAGGCTGTAATAAGTTGTCTATGAATATCATTTAGCTCATAGAGGTTAGTAAATTCATGTGAGGTAAATTCACCACCTAGATCAGTGCGCAAAACCTTTATGGACTTTCTAGGTTCCTTTTCAATCGTAGCTTGAGATTTTTGAAATGCTCCTATGGCTTCCAACTTTTCTTCCAAAAAATATACCCATGTTTTCCACCTATAATCATATGTAAAAATAAGGAAATACCTTTTGTGACTGGTTGATATTGGATTGATTGGCCCACAAATGTCAAAATGGATTACTTGAAGTGTTTGTGCAGCTCTCCAAGTGTTTTCTTTAGGGAAAGAGTCACAATACTGCTTTTCAATAATACAATCTTCACACACCTGTGAAGGAGATTAAATATGAGGAAGTCCCTGTACCATTCCTTTCTGTTGCAAGGTTTTTAACCCATTGAAATTCAAGTGTCCACAATGATAATGCCACAACCATGTTGTATCTTGTATTGTTGATGTAAGACAAGTCTGATCACTTTATTGAGTTTGAGTGTACATAAGAAACATTCGATTTGTTGCCATATGGACTTGTGCAAATAACCCTTTCTTTGGAAGATAATTTATTTTTTGTTATTGGGGGGTGTCCGGGCCAGTTTATGCGCATCTTGACTAGTCCCCCGACCTTGAACAAGGCTTCCGAAATAGGATAAGCTCTGTTGTCCGTGGCCAACAATATTGACAATCGTTCTTGTGATTCGAACTTGAGACCACAAGGGGAGAAAACCCCTTGGCTCCAAGCCTTTACCACTCGGCCAACCTATTGTTAGTTAGGATGATAAATTTGATAGCAACCTTCCTGAATAATAATGTCAAATCCCTTTTCTTGTAGCTGACCAAGGCTGATCAAGTTGCTCTTTAACTCTAGGACATATAACACACTAGTAATAGTCATCATGCTATTATTCATCATTATTTTAATTTTGCCTTTACCCATAACACTGATGCTAAAGTTGTTTCCAAGCTTCATATTTTCTCTAAAGGTTTTATCTAAATCAAAGAATAAAACCTTGTTACCACTCATGTGATTGTTGCAACCATAGTCTAAGTACCAAATTGCACTTGATTGCTCAAGTTTGTCAATGCAAGCCGTAAGAAGTAACTCCTCTTTGGTCTCAGCAAAATTCATCTTTGTTTCTTTTTCTTTGTCGGGACTTGAAAGTGACCTAGCTTGTGACAGTGATAACATTCAAATTTTGATTTGTCAAAATAAGCTCTTTGATTGTATGAGGATTGCCCTTGATAGTATGAAGACTAACGTCCTCTTCCTCTGCTGCGCCCTCAAAATCCTCCATGTCCTTTGCCTCTCTCTGAGAAAGCTTCTCCAAGAGTAGTGACTATCAAGGCTTGCTCGTTTACAACATAAGTCATCTTTTGTACATGTACCAGCAAGGAACTCTATAACTCACCGAGTAATACTGTCAACATCATGAGATTCTTCAATGGAGCACACCACATAGTTGAATTTTGGAGTCATTAAGCAAAGAATTTTCTCAATTATATCAACATATGCTACTATCTCGCCATGAAATCGCTTCTTGTTGGCAATTGAGAGTACTCTTGCACAATAATCATTTACTGACTCCCCTTTTTTCATGTGGATATTTTCAAATTCTTCTCGAAGAACTTGGAGTTGAGCACGTTTCACCCTTCCTGTGCCTTGGTACTTCTTCTTTAGAGAGTCCTAGATTTGTTTCACAATATTCTTTCAAAGAATAGCTTCCAAGATGGCATAATCTATTGCCTGAAACAAGTAGTTCTTTGCCTTCAATTAATCTTTCAATTTTTGTTCTTCCAGAACCTTTAACTGTGCATCAGTTAAGGTTATCCCTTTTGTTGGTTTGACAATGCCATTCTCAATAGGACCCCAGTACTCTTTGGATCTTAGAAAGTTTTCCATCAGCATGCTCCAATGATCTCAGAGACCATCAAAGCGAGGAATGGCTGGTTGCACAAAGTTGTTGTTCTCTAACGCCATTTAATCTTATTGCTGCAAATAAGAAGACGATTGCTTCCTGACTAGTTAGGTCTTTAAAAATCAAAGGCTTTGATACCAATTTTTAAAAACAGAGCTTTTAACAATTACAAGAGATAATGAGATAATTTTTTTGTTTGTTATTCAAAGATAAGACTTGGCTTATAAAGCCATACAAAAAACAGATTAACCAAAAATATTTACTAGAAAGCTATCCCACGTCTAACAGTCCTAGATGCATGAGATTCACTTTAGAAGCAGTCAAATAAGAAACAAAATTCCTTAACAATAATAATTATTAAAAACAACTAACAGCTATAACTTTAACAGTAACAGTTGGAGTGGCCTCCCCCCACCTATATTAGCAACTGAGAAGGAATTTAAACTCAAGACCTTTTAAGTAATACACCCAAGAATCCCTATCAAATACTAACAAAAAAAAAAAAAAAAAAAAAAAGAGTCCCTATCAAACCACTCGACCACCCAGAGGCTGGTTTATTGTAATATATCTAGCATTTAACTAAAATGTTCTTGTAGTATAATATTTTATGTTTTTGTGTATAACATTAATTCTTGGGAAATGCTATTTGCCAAAATGTGTATGAAATATTAATAAACTAAGATATTAACGTGACTAATTAAAATAAATTAGAAAAAAATTAATAAAAATCAATTTTACATTGATGAAACGACATCAAAATGATACACTACAAATTTTCTTGAAAATATGTTACACTACAAAGACATATGTTCTTGAAATCCATAGGTAAATAAAAAATTTCTTTGAAAATGCATATAAATTTTAGTTAACGGTTAGCAGAGGGTTGATCCATAATACATAAATTTATTTCAATAAAAGATTTAGTTCACAAGCCAATTCATCTAGGCCACTAGTCAAGAGTGACACAATGGGCTAATCATGAATACGTAAATTTAACTGGATTCATTACATACAATTTAATATCATTTGTTTTATATTTATTTTGTAAGAAGATTATTGTTTATGCAATTTATATTTTATTTTCTCAAACATAAATTAAAATTGGGGTAGAATAATCGTTTTTAAAACTCATATAATCTAAAGAATGTTATCAAATTGAGATTTATTTGTTCCAAATTATTGTCATTATTTTGTGAAATTATTAGACCAATTAAAATAATAAAATGTGAAGCAAAGAAAAAACGATTTTGGTATTTACATCCTAATTAAGACATCTTCACCACCCACAAGACAACACAGACATATCCTCTTCCTCTCTAACAACACAACACAGACATATCAATTCCAATTTATCACAACAAAATTCTCTCCTCCTTCACTTGATGATGGCTTCTATTTCATCTTCTCCATCTCCTCACAAACTTCTTTTCCCAACCCCTCACAAATTCCTCCACGTCAAAAGACAATCCTACCCTCTCCCGCTCTCTCCTTTTCCCGATTCTACTCTCTGCCGTTCCTCCTCCTCTTCCTCCGGTAACAACTCCACTCGCCGCCCCTGGGACTTCCCCATCCACAACCTCCTCAAGAACCTCGTCAAACGCTTCGACTCCTACCTCAACCAGAAGGATACTGCACAGAACGACGCCGTTTCTGACAAAGAAGACTGGGATTGGGAGAGGTGGAAGAAGCATTTCGATGATGTAGATGAACAGGAGCGTCTTGTCTCCATTTTGAAGGTATTTCAACACATTTTTTACTTTTAAACCTTAGCACACTCGCAATAATTTTATCATACATGAGATTTATTTGGCTAATTTTGTATATTTAAACCACAACTAAAGGATTTTTTTTATTAAAGTTTTAAATATAGAGTCTGGTCTAATGATCGAATTAAGGTTTTCTTGTATTTCATATAATGCTGAAATTGGAAGAAGAATCTTACTTGTTCTTGTTTTTTAAACTATTAATTTATATAGTTTTAATTATATTAGTGCTATATTGCTATTTCGTTACTAGCCCTTCTGTTCTTTTTTCTAATTTTTTTTCTCTATTCTGTTAGACCAGTCTGAGTGTCATTCTCTTATCATCTTTAGAATTGGAGACTTTACTGGAGACTAGGCTGAATTATATTATCAGTTATCGTACCAATGGCTTCAACTAAACTTGTTATTGGTTAAATTTCTTTAGTTGATTGGATGATGCTTTAATTGATTTGCAACACCAATACTTTGATGAATTTTTTATTGTGCTCACTCTGTATGGATGAACCATGCACTTTTTATCTAAAGGAAAAGAAAGATTTATTTTAGCAGTGAAGAAAACATATAAGATGTGAAAAGAAAGATTTGGAGTTCAATGGGAGTTGGGTTCACTAGAAATTGCGCTTAAATCCATTATCTTTCTCCAAAGCTCTGCTGTAACTGTTTTTTCAGTGTACTCTGTTCTTTCATATTGATATAAAAAGAGCTTTTGAGAATCTTTGTGCAGTATTTATTTTTCTGTGCCATACTGAACGAGAAGTGATAAAATTATTGAGTGATTTGGGTTTGTTTACTTGGCGTCACATTTTTAATAATTAGGCTATCTTAGATGCTAATATCTTTGTATCAACAGTCACAGTTAGGTAAAGCAGTATACAGAGAAGAATATGGAGATGCTGCTAGGCTCAAGGTGGCAATTGCAGCTGCAGCTACTAATGACACTGTTGGCAGAGTGATGTCCAACTTGAATGTGAGAAAATCAAATAAGTAGTAGATATCTCTATTTTTCTTTCAGGATAAGAAGAAGAAAATTAGGCCATTCTTTTGCCTAACCTGTTTTTCTCACTCCAGAGAGCAGTAGTGGAAGAGCGTTTTGAGGATGCAGCTATTTTACGAGATAAAGCTGGTGCTGGATTGGTGAGTTTGATATAAGTTTTTTCTCTAAATTATCAACACACATGTAACTATATATGTCTTTTATTGAAAGAAAAAATAACCTCTGTGCTTTTTGGCCCTTATTTATTTTTATAGTGATTTCCCTTTTGTATACTTGTTTGAATTATATACACAGAAACGCTCTTGCAGTATTTTGGGGTATATAATTAAGTTGCAATGGCGAGTAACTCTGAATGTTGGCTATTTTGCACATTTCTATCTTCTAAATGTGAAACATAGTAGCAGATGTAGCTTTAGCCTTATCTTAATTTCTGATACCAGAGTATTTCTATTAATTTCTGTTGTGAGTCCTTGGCATTTGGTTAACCAATTTGTTACTGCTGCTCCTTTTAAGCAGTTTCCTGACTTTTTCCGTGGATAACCATTCCTCACTAATTATCTTGTCATTTTCTCTCAGTTCTTACTTTTGTGAATATTTTCGGGTTTCAATTATTTATTAGTTTGTGGATATCTTTCTTTTGAGTAGTAGTAGCAAACTGTTGCAAGCTTCTCATTATTTAAATTTAATTTTTTAGTTTTTGTATTCCTATATATGCTTTCGTGCTTGAGAAGTTGATTGCTTTTTTGTCTTCATGGTCAAATTGTGTTTTGTTTGTTGGCTTTCAAGTTAAATATATTCTATTCAAATTGAAATAAAAAAGTCAAGAGGAGGAAAGCCAAAATACTTGGGTATGTGTTGTTTCAGCTTTTCGCTAGGTGATTTAGCTAGAAAGAAATAATTGGATTTTTGGTGAGAAAAGAGAATAAAATGTCCAGAGTTGTGGGTTAAAGTTGCTTTTTTTTTTCTTTGGGCTTTGGTACTGAAGAGTTTCAGGGTTTATCCTTTTTGTTGATTTATCTCTGTTGGGAATAGGTTTTGGGCTAATTTTTTGTAGTCTATATACTTCTTGACCAAGGGAGGGATCATTACTAAGAAGATATATAAATTGTCTCCTTGCCCCTGGTTTTTTGATTCTTTGTGGACACGTTGTCCACAACTCAATCTACTCACCTCCTTATTAGATTAGCACAAATTTCTTCTTTCTTATGAAAACAAGTGATTAGTAAACCTCTTTGGAGGTTTTCTGCTTATGGATTTGAAATATGTTGCTGAATATTATATGATGACTGTGACTTACGTGTTTTGTTTTCTGGTACTGGCTTCCAGGTGGGATGGTGGACTGGTATTTCAGAAGATAAGCACAATCCTTATGGTCTGATAATACATGTTACTGCAGAGCATGGAAAATATGTAGCTAGGAGTTATAGTCCCCGGTAATCATTCCATTGCTTATGTAAGAGTTCCCAGTAAGGCTTTCATTGATTTATAAAGAAGACCAAAACCATGCACAGAAGATGAAACCCTACTTGTTTGGCACTAAGATATTGGTGATGATGTCTTCTTTTTGAAAAAGGAACTCAAGCCTTGAACTTGGACTTGTACTTGTTTTGATGTTTTGAAGCTTTTTTTTTTACTGATCTTTTTCTTTCAGGCAGCTTGCTACAGCTGCAGTTGGTGTTCCCCTGTTTGAGATCTATCTTACTATGAATAAGAAAGGTGAATACAAACAGCAGGTACCTTTTCTTTCTATATCTTTTAGTTTTCTTATTGTCTTTGTTTGAATTATAAATGTTTTGCTGGTCAAATGTATGAAGGACTTATTTTGCTATGTTGATGGTAGCCAATCGAGTTATTTAAATTAAGGAATATTGAAACAGAATTAGGTTGGAGTGAGAATCAATGAGAGAGAGCAAGTCTAGACCAAATGAGAGTGAAGAAGGTCAAAATCTTGATCTAGGGTTAAGAGAGTTGTTAAGAGAAAGAGAAAGGTCTATGGAACCAAATTTGAATTATGTTAATAGAGACTCTCTGATGGAACTCCCCTGAAAAACAAATCAAACAACAACCGCAGCACAAACACAATAGCAAATATCTACACAATCTGAAAAGAACTGAAATAGTATTAATTAGGATTGAACTATCCCTTGACAGAGCAATTCATTCAACAACAGGTTCCCAGCAGTTCGAGGAGCTGGGGGCCTCCCGATCTGTCCTATGAAGATATTCCTTGATAAAAATGACCTGCCTCACACTCTCCTCCTCTCTATATACTAATTATTCTATTTTGTAACCACTGATATCAGCCACTTGTACTTTCCTATAACAAACTCACGACACTCTCCACATTCACTGTCACGTCACCCTCATTGCACTTAATGCCTATTCCTACTCCTGCCCTTCAATTTATAAACCTTGCGTATGGGTGGTACCCCCCCCCCCCCCCCCCTCCTTCTCTTTTTCCTTTCAAGAGCCACCTTGTCCTCAAGGTGGAAGTGAGGAAATTGGTTATTGATGACATCAAAGGTAGGCAGATCGTGCCAACGGACGAGGACTTCTGTGGAACCATGAAGAAGGGTGTGTACATCCAGGACTTCTGCAGGTTGAACCTGAAGTTCTAGGTCGTTCGTAAGAAAGGAGGGCAGAGTTTGAATGGGTACTGAGCTATGTAGGCTATGATTCAGCTGGGAAACATGAAAATTGGGATGAATACGGGCTGTAGTGGGAAGTTCCAACTTATAGGCAACCTGATCGATTTTCTCCAGTACTCGGAAAGGTCCATAAAACTTGGAGCTAAGTTTTTCATTCAACCGTGTGGCGAGGGACTTAAATTTGTAGGGCTGGAGCTTAAGGTAAACATGATCACCTGGAGAAAATTGGATACCTCGTTGGTGCCGGTCTGCCTGTTCTTTCATGTGGACTTGTGCCACTTCCAGGTTGTGTTTGAGTTTCTGGAGGATGGCATTGCGCTCAAGAATCTGTTGGTTCACGTCGTCCACCTGAGAGGGATAATCGGTGAACTTAAGAAGAGTCGGAGGGTCACGACCGTATAAGGCTTTGAAGTTGACCGATGATATGTCGTGTTATACTAAAACTCAGCCCAAGACAACCAATTTGGCCATTGACGGGGCTGTGAACTGCAGAAACAACGGAGGTATGCCTCTAAGTACCTATTCACCACTTCAGATTAGCCATCCGTTTGGGGATGGTGAGCGGAGCTAAATTTCAAAGCTGTCCCCGAAACTTTGAAGATTTCTTGCCAGAATTGGCTTATGAAAAGTCTATCCCTATCAGAAATGATGGACTTGGGAAAGCCATGAAGTTTCACAGTCTCCTTCATGAACTAAGGCCACCTAAGTGACCATATTTAGTCAATCTATCAACTACCACCAGGGTGCTATCGAACCCCTTAGCCCTAGGAAGGCCACGAATGAAGTCCATTGTCAATTCATCGAATGCTTGAGACAGAATAGGTAGTGGCTGAAGTAGCCCCGCAGGTTTCAGAGCTGAATGCTTGTTAACTTGACATATGGAGCAAGGTTCAACAAAATTCTGGACATCCTTCTTAATGCGTACCCAATAAGCCACATTTGCAACCCTTTTGTATGTCCGAAAGAATCCAGAATGACCCCCTGTTGGACTTGAATGAAATTCAGTTATTAATTTATGAATAAACCGTGAGCCCTTAGGCAAAACCAACCTGTCTTTGTACAATAAACAGCCATGGCAGAGTTTGTAGTTGGGTCGGCTGTTGGGATCTATAATCAGGTCCTGAATCAAGTGCTTAAGCTTGGGGTCCTGTTGGGCTTCATTTGCCAAGTCCTCATACTCTGCAAACTGGATCACCAATAGAGGGTTCAATTTTGGTTCCTCATCTCTTCTAGATTACACATCAGCCACCCTATTAGTGGTTCCTGGCCAATAATGGTTGTCAAACGAAAACCCCATTAACTTGGACAACCATTTCTGCTGCTCTGGAGTCTTAATCCACTGATCCTTGAGAAATTGGAGGCTTCTCTGATCTGTTTTAATGATAAACTTCCTACCCAACAAGTAAGGACTCCATTTGTGCACGGCAAAGACGACGACCATTAACTTTCTTTCATAGACTGATTTTTGTTTAGCTTGAGTGAAAAAGCCTTATTTAAGTAAGCTATGAGTCTTGCTTGTTGAACGAATACGGCCCCCATGCCTTGGCCCGAGGCATCTGTGTGTACCTCAAAAGGAGTGTTGAAATTAGGGGCTACCAAAATCGGAACAGAAGTCATAGCCTCCTTCAATGATTCAAAGGCCTTTTGTGCCTCCATACCCCAACTAAAAGAGTTTTTCTTAAGCAACATCATGAATGGTTGGGCTATGCTTCCATACCCCTTAACAAACCTGCGGTAGTACCCTGTTAGCTCCAAAAATCCGTGTAGGCTTTTCACATTAGTTGGCGTTGGCTACAAAACCATAGCTGCAACTTTCTGGGGGTCGGCTTCTACCCCGTTAGCCAAAATTAAGTGACCCAAATATTCAAGTTTCTGCTGCCCAAACAAACACTTTTTAAAATTCACTACCAATTCATTATTGTCCAACATCCGAAGAGCTTGCCGAAGATGTATTATGTGGGACTCCAAGTCAGGGCTGTAGATAATAATATCGTCAAACAAAACCAACACAAACTTCCGCAAGACCGACTTAAAGATGGTGTTCATTAGTGACTGAAACGTGGAGGGAGCATTGGTCAAGCCGAACGGCATGACAAGGAACTCGTAGTGCCCCTCATGTGTTCGAAAAGTTGTTTTGGGAATATCGTCCTCTTTGATCCTGATTTGGTGGTACCCGGACCTAAGGTCCAACTTAGAGAATATGGTTGTCCTCGCCAACTCATCAACAACTCCTCAATGGTAGGAATGGGAAATTTGTCGGGAATGGTTATTTCGTTGAGGGCCCTGTAGTCTACACAAAACCTCCAACTTCTGTCTTTTTTCTTGACTAACACCAGACTGGCGTATGGGTTAGTACTAGGCTGGATAATTCGGGCAGCTAACATCTCTTCCACCAACTTTTCAATTTCATTTTTTTTGGAAATAAGGGTACTTATAGGGTCTAATGTTTGGGGGTGGGGCATCTTCTTTAAGGGTTATGGCGTGGCCGTGAGTACGGTGTGGAGGAAGTTTGGATGGCTGGTCGAAAAGGTGTATATACTGATCCAAAACTGCTTGAACTCTAGGATTGACATCCTCTCCCTTTTGACACTAAACTTCCATCAATTGAGCAACATTCCACCAAAAACCCTCCCCCTGTGTTGTTAGTGGATCGTAACGTGGATTTTAGGGAAACCACTGACTTCACTAGAGACGGGTCTCCTTGTAAACTAATTCTGACCCTATCCACCTCAAATTTCATTGTCAACTTCTTCCAGTTGGCACACACATCTCCTAAAGAACTCAGCCATGTAACACCCAACACAACATCAACACCTCTTAACTCAAAAGGAAAAAAATCCTGCATAATTCGGATCCCTTGTACCTCCAGAGGAACCCTTTGACACACCCCTTCCCCCATCATCGTGACTCCATTGCCCACTTTCACCCCCAAACAACTTTCCCTTTTCAACTGAAATGCCAAGCCTGCACACCAACTCCTGTGAAATAAAATTATGGGATGCCCCACTGTCGACCAACACCACCATATCTGTGTTCCCAATTTGCCCCTTAACCTTCAAGGTTTTGTCCGAAGTTATACCCACAATGGAATTCATAGACAGGGCTAAAGCCTTACCTTCTGGGTTGGAAATTTCTTCACTTTCCAGAGTGGATTCATCCTTCTCAGAGTCATCGTCTTCCCATGCCAACAGAATCTGTAATGATTTACTCTTACAGCGGTGATTGGGGCTGAACTTTTCATCACAACGAAACAAAGTCCCCTTTCCCTCTTATATTGGATATCGGCCTCTAAAAGTCGTCGGAAATTTCTATCAGTTTCGCCTCTGAAGCTCGAAGCTCCAATTTCGGTGTTCACTCTTTCCTTTTTGGTGTGCGAGATGACGCAACGTGAATGGGATCTGGAGGTTTTGTTGAATTGGGCCACCAAGCGGGTCGGGTTAGGTTTGGGCTGTTGGACACTCTTTTATAATGTTCTTTTATTCCTTGGGTTTTAAAAAATTTAGGCCAACATTTTTCAAGGACCCAGTTCTTTTCCTCCACCCGATGGGCCTGTTCAATCACATCTTGAAGAGAGTTGGGCCTCAGCAATCTCAGCTTAGCTCTAATCTCCTCTTTAAGCCCATTGATAAAGACTCCTATCAACAATTCTTCACCCAAATCCTTCAACGGTGCCATATGAGACTCAAACTCTTTCTTGTATTCAGTCACCGTGGAAGTTTGCTTCAGTGCCACCAGAGCTTTGTGTGCAGAACCTTGGAACGAAGGACGAAAGCTAGCAATTAAAGCTGCCTTAAACTCTTCCCATGACTTGAAAGGTTCTCGCAGTTCAACCCATTGGTACTAGTTCAATGCCCTTCCCTCCATACACACAGCGGCAACTTCAACCATCTCCGATGATCCATATCTGTTAATGGAAAAGTAGCGATCTGCTCGGAATGTCCACCCAAATGGATCCTCTCTATTGAAGATTGGAAGTTCAAGTTTCTTGCCTTTCTTCTCCTTTTTCCCACTATCTCCGTCGTCCTCCGAGAATCATGATTCTGGTGTTGTCCGAGAATCATGATTCTGGTTTTGATTCCCTCATCCTCATTGACTCTCGCATCTCGGTCAGGTATTCTTTAAGGCTACCCACATCAGTCTTCCTGAGCTCATGTCCTCCTTCACCGATTTCATTTCTTTTTCCATATTTTCCATTCTGTTCTCCATCTTCGATTTGACCATTCCCCAGCCAAGCTCTGATACCAAACAAATGGAACTCCCCTGAAAAAAAAATCAAACAACAACCGCAACACAAACACAATAGCAAATATCTGCACAATTTGAAAAGAACTAAAATAGTATTAATTAGGATTGAACTATCCCTTAACAGAGCAATTCATTCAACAACAGGTTCCCAGTAGTTCGAGGAGCTGGGGGCCTCCCAATCTGTCCTATGAAGATATTCCTTGATAAAAATGACCTGCCTCATACTCTTCTCTCTATATACTAATTATTCTATTCTGTAACCACTGATATCAGCCACGTGTAATTTCCTATAACAAACTCTCCACACTCATAACAAACCACACTCTCCACATTCACTGTCACGTCACCCTCATTGCACCTTAATGCTTATTCTTACTCTTGCCTTTCAATTTATAAACCTTGCGTATGGGTGGTCTAACACTCTCCAATTGTTTTTTTCCCCTTTCCTAGGAAACTAAGATACTCTATTAAAATAAAAAAGTATACAACAATGGATAGTTGTCCACACAAAAAAGGACAAGTTGTCCCTAGAACCCAAACGTTCATAAACTATACAAAATGAAAAACGCATCTCGTATTCCAAAATCATCAATGTTGAAAATCAAAATCCCTAAAATTTGCAAAAAAATCTTGCCAAGCTAGGTAGTTGAAGCTTACCAATTATGTTGAATAAAGTCAAATGAAACATCTTGGAACTCTAAAGGAATAGATGCCCAAAGAGAAGCTGAAAATTGTACTTTATCCCACATAGATAAAATCTTTTCCCCCCTTGTATCTTAAAAAATTCTCCTATTTCATTCTAACCATATAACCCAAGAAATTGCCATAACTGCACAATTCCATAAGACAAAAACTTTTCTTCAGCCGCCCAAAGCAACATGCCTCTCTAACAAAACCAAAAAATAGGAAGAAGAAGGTATTGCCCAAAATAGGTCAAACTCCTTAAGCAAGTTGTTCCATAAAATCTGGCTGAGGGGCAGTGCAAGAAAAAGGGGTCTACACTCTTATAATCTTTTTGCACAAGATGCATTAATTTGAAGATAAAGAAATATAAGGTCTTCTCTTTTAAATGAAATCAGAAGTGTTGATTCTTTAAGCACAGTAGTCCAATCTAGCACCTTAACTTTGCTAGGAACTTTGGGTTTCCAAATCCCAAGAAATATGAAGACTCTCCAATTATGTGAACATTCTACCAATTTATAGAGGAAATGTGTTTCAGCCAAGCAGACTATACCTACTTAGGGTAATTCATCAAATACTGATATTCTCAAAATCCAATGACATCATATCTTTGGATGGATTAAAAGTGCCACAAATCATAACTAGCCATGAAGAAACCATTGGAAATAGAGAGAAATAGTCACCTTAACTATTGCTAATTGATAATATAGGCGATTAATTTTTGTTATAAGCATTTGAAAATCTGATATAATCAAGCCTATTCTTTTCTCTCCTTTGCCTATGATTTTTACATGCATAGTTTCAAGTGAAAATTTGTGAAATTTACAGTTTAATACTAAAGGCTTAGCCTCATGGTTTGTGTAATCTGCCTTGCTGCTCTCTTTCTCATTCAAGTGATACATGTATATGAATGTGCATTGATTATAATGTTTGTGCCTATGAACATAAAGATGCACATATTTCAAGCAAATATGGATAAAAATATACAAGAACAGTTACTCGTTTGCACATGAAACACATGCATGGGTGCATGCACTTACATGCAATCATATATGCATTTGAATGAGTTCCACCAAAACTTGGAAGTTTAGTGTAGAGTATTGTTGATTTTAAACATGTTATCTTCTTGGTAAAATTGAGGAGTATATTGTACTTGTATATAGATTTTATATGATATTATAAATAGATAGTGGAGAGGAACTACATAGTAGTCATCGTCCTACAGTCCAAGTGCTATTTATCTTCTTCTCTTTTCCTCTCTTTCTCCACGCTTATATTTTTCCTGATCTAAATTGATCTTTGTGAACCAATGTATCTCAAGAGATTTATGTGATTTTCAGGCTGTGTACTTAAGAAAGAGGGGTTTTTTCGAAGATTCTTCAAAAGTTTCCCCCAAAGCATCAGGTGCTGCCAGTGGCTTGAATTCATCAGGCTCAACGGAAGACAAGGATGATCTTCTTGTTATGAGTACCGAAGATGTCGAAGATGGTGATGATACTGATGATAATTCTGATCTAGCTGAGGGACTGTCTGGATTTCAGAATATATTGCGAGATATGATTCCTGGTGTGAGAGTTAAGGTTTTGAAGGTGATAACCCCTGGGAAGGTAGATCGAGATTTTATATCCAAGGTAATTGAGCAGATAATAGAGGATGAAGATGAAGAAAAAGATATCGAGGTGGAAAATGCTGAATCAGAAGATGAAGATGAAGGTGAAAGTGAAAGTGAAAGTGACCAAGAGAGGAATGAGATAGAAATGGATGCTGTTCGTGGAATTATAGAAAATGAAGAGCAAAGTGAAATTGCTGTCAAAGTTGTGGTTGGTGGTCTTGTTCAGAAGCTTTCTGGCAGTATGCCTGCTAAGGAGCGAGTACCTGCTAAGCTAGAAAAGAAGGGACGTTTGTCATTTTCCTTCTTTATAAAGAAAGATGGAAAGCTACAGGATTCTGGTGCCAAGGAACTAACTTCAGTGGATCGCAAAGCTAAGCTTCGAGGTCAGCTTAGCATGGACAGTGTTATGCTTGATCTTGCAAAGTTTGTCGGCAAGGAGAAGATACCATTGAAGGCAGGCTTACATCTTTGCTTCGCATATCTTTATGTAAATTTTAACAATTGAGTTTTGTTCTCTTTTTCTTGTAAAGTTCGTACTGTTTTATACTAATGTTTAGTCTGCTGCCTCATCTATGCAGGTGCTTAAAGATATTGGTGAATTAATAAATCTCTCTCTCAGTCAGGCCCAGAGCCGTCAACCACTGTCCGGTTCAACAACTTTCCAGCGAATTGAGATAGCATCACCATCAGATCCACTAAATGGTAATCTTTTACTGATCATGGTCATTACTAATACTAACATATGATGCTGAGCGGCTGCTTATACTGTTCTGTTTTACTGCATGCTTTTGTTTCTACTATACTTTGCTCTTTCATTTTGTTATCTTAGACCTTGACCCCAACCAAAAGTATTGTCTATGTGCTCTTTTTATCAGGACTATACATTGGTGCACATGGACTTTACACCTCAGAAGTTATCCATCTGACACGCAAAGTTGGCCAATGGAAAGATGATAGTGGGACTAGGAATTCTTCTGGTCTCGAGTTTTATGAATATGTGGAAGCTATTAAAGTAACTGGAGATCCTTATGTACCTGCTGGCCAGGTGATTTACTTATCTAATATATGGTTAGTTTCAGACTAACTGTGCTCTATGAGACCTACTGAATAACATTGACTTTCAGCTCTGATGCTGCATACTACATTCTCTATTTTATGTATGTTCACATGCAGTATGCATGATCTTATTGGCCAGCACTCCTGGATTAATTTTGTATAGGTTCTGCTCTGCTTTGTATGGTGAAGAGATGATTACTCTCTGCAAAAGTGTATAGATTTATTTCCTCTACTGGTTTTTTGCAGAAAGCTAGTCCAGAATTGTATCTTCTCACCTTCTACAAATTTAATACAAAGTTTATTGTTTCCTATCAAAAAAATATGGTTTGCATGGTTTGATATATGTTGTGCCTTTATAATCGAAAAAGTTTATTGGTGAAATTTCAGCTAGATTCTTGTATTTGGTCACTTTTATGTTTTTGTTTGCCTTTTATGCAATGAACTTGGAAGATTTTAGTGTCTTGGTGATCTTTTTGTCAGCTCCAATGTTAGGTTAATGGAATGTACAAGCCTATATATAGCTCTTCTTATGCTATTTATTGCCTTATTTGGAAAGGGGTTTCCTCAAGCTAAACTTGGTGGGTTTATAGTTATTGGCCCCAGATGATGTTCAGTTTTGCAACTTATATCCATCTATATGTAGTTACTCAATCAAAACCCTGACAGTAACATTTCTATCAAATTTCTGCAGGTTGCATTTCGTGCCAAGATTGGAAAAAGATATCAGTTGCCACATAAAGGAATCATTCCTGAAGAATTTGGAGTGGTATCTTTATAGCATTTGAAATTTCATTTTGAGCAACCTGATATTGTTGTTTTCTTGTTTTGGCCCAACTTTCTATGTATTGAAGAGCTTCTTGTGATGTTATGTACATCTTAGATTGCTCGATATAAAGGACAAGGGAGGCTTGCAGAGCCAGGTTTTCGAAACCCACGATGGGTTGATGGTGAACTTGTTATTCTTGACGGAAAGGTTTCTAGTTCTCTATTTTGTTTTGTGGCCATAAACTTTCCTTTGTCTATTATATGTATACATTGTCTTCTGTTCTTTTTGCAGCATCTGGTATGTCTTTTAATGAAACCATACCAAATGTTATTGATCACAGAAAGAATGCTGACTATACAGCGTAACCTTTTTGATGCAGTACATTAAAGAGGGGCCTGTTGTTGGATTTGTCTATTGGGCTCCTGAATATCATTTCTTGGTGTTCTTCAATCGGCTTAGGCTTCAGCAGTAGATTCTCATTGTACATAAAGTCCGAGTTTTGCTGATTCTTTGGTCAGATTAGGCTGGGTAAGTACTTGCTCACCAAAAGTAGGCCAATTAAAAATGAGTAAATTTATAAACAGTGCTGAGAATTCTCTCTGCTGTTATTTTCCTTAAGACAATCACATGAGATTATACTTAAATCTTACAGAACTACCTTCAAATGTTTTTCCCTGTGCATAATATTGTTGAGCATAGGCTTTCAATTATTGTGCTGAAAGGTGATTTGGTGGCACCTCTCATGAGAATTGGTGGCATATGATATATGATTATGCATGATCTCAATGGCAATTGATTTTCTTTGACAGATTATGAGTTAATCACTGATTGTTTGATTAGCTATTGAAGACCTCTCTGTCTTTCATCTGTATTTATTACGCACTTCTTTTTATCAGATCATATCACTAAAGTATGCTTATAATGAATCATGAGTGTTATCGGGATTAATTAATGGATTCCACTGTTATTGGTGTTTTTTGATGTTAACTGCCTTCCATGCATCCTATTGTAGTTTCAATTGTTTTGATGTTTACTTAGTTCCACTGTTATTGGGAATGTTTTGAAGTCCAATACAGTGACGATCAGTGCAAATGTGGCAGCTTTACATCATCGCTTGATTTATGTTCCTTACTTCTTTATTTTTTTTTCCTTTTCCGTCACCAAGATTTGGATTTGGCATACATGTTTTTATCTTGGTCATATTTTTCCTATACACGGAGGTCTGGTTGAAAGTCACTGTCAGTTTTATTTCGGTGAAATTTCTAGCTGAACCATAATTTCAAGATAAAAACTGGAAGAGGAGTCTGTATTAGATGGGTTCTATAACATTTTTGGAATATGGCCTATTGAAAGTTTCCTTCATTGTTTTTATACGCACATTAAGATTATATATGTTACCTTGAAGTTCTTTTTCAAGTGCAGCAGCAGAGAAGCTTAGATATATTAGGCCCCAATTCAAATGCTCAAGCCGTTGACTGGTGCACTTCTAAGCATGTATTGACCAGATGAAAGTAAATATTGATGCTTTGTGGTGCATTGATTCAGCCCTTCTACTGCTTGGTTTTTGGCAGTCCTCTCACCAATGTATGTGTTGTTAACTTCTGCTGTACATACTGTCAGTTCCTAACTATTAAGCTGTTGTGATGCTTGATCGTTTTATTATTCGTAGTTCTATTATCTCACAAGCACAGTTGGGATTGCGCAATACCTGAATTAGAAAGTAGAATATGTAAGGGATACTGATGGGCTTTTTTATTTATTTATTATTATTTTTTTTTTTATTGGTGCAGTTCCTTGTAACCTTGTTTCGAATCAATTACTCTGTAATTATCATTTTTGGTTTTTTTATTGTTGTTCACAGTAATTCTCAATAAAGGGTACATTTACCTGTTATGTTTCTGAACTCTGTTGTTTTAATTTATTTCTTCTATTTTTCTTGCATTGATGGGGCATTTTGTAGTTGGAAAATGTGGTATGTTTCTTCTTTGAACATCGAGTGGGCTTTGTTTTGCTCTCTTTTGCTCTTTGTTTATGTATGGTTTCTTATATATTTATTTGTTGAGGTGAGTATTTTTCAGTTGACCTACCATGAAGTTTGTTTAAAAATACTAGCAGATTCCATTGGTTTTAAAATTTGTCAAAACCTCACTTGAAATTTTCAAATAATCATGAGCCTCCCATGAAGTGTCATAAACTTTATTGGGGAGGGACAAAAACTAAACCAATGGGTTGTTTTTCATTTTATTCATATCCCAAAGGAGGTCAATGCAATTATCCCTTTCAGTATTGCATATGAGTTAGTACACAGATATAAGAAACAAGTGGAGTTGAAAGTTGGTGGAGAAGACACTACTGTTGGATTTTTTTGTTATGTTGTAAAGGTCTGTTGCTATCTAATTGCCAGAGGAGCCTCTAAGACACAATAGCGTTGAAAGTTTCTTGTAGAAAAATTATATGAAGGGGCATTGTGAAAGCAGGAAGAAATGAATACTTGCTGGTATATATATATTTTTTTTCTCTCTATGACTTTGGTTGATATTCTAACAAGCTTATTTACTTTTTATATCATTATGAATTGGGGTTGAAGATGGGGAAGGTTACGATGGATATGATGGGGTGTGCTGAGAGTAATACACGGTGTGGAAGCAGATAAGGTTTTCAGTTGTAGAACTTGATAGTTAATACTACTGTAGTCCTGGTTCAACTTGCCATAAGGATGTGAAATTCGAAGATTTGGTGAAATTAGGATCATATGGCCCAGGCTTTAGAAAATGACTTTGGAAACAGTAGATTGGTAGGAGTTAGGGGCAGAATGAAGAGGATGTGAATATATAGGCTTAGAAATGGTCATTGGTAGTACAAATTAATGATTTATCTAGTCTGACGTGATTTGGTTTGGGTTTGGAGAAAATTGGGTAATGCTTAAGCAATGTAAATTGTGGTAGGACCAAAAACGTATATGTTGGTCACGATGTGGTATTAATTTTGTACAATAAAAGAGCTTTGACTAATTATTTTTGGTGTGCCGATCCATTGGTTTTTCAAGTGAGAGTTTGACCTATTTTATTATGAAGAAAAATGTTTAATTGAATACTAAGCGAAGTTTCAAACCCTAACTATATTTTCAGTGTTGAGTGTGCACTTAGTGCTCACTAGCAAGCTCAACATTCTGTGGTCTCAAATTTAACCCTTCTTGTTTGAGGCAATATTGCTTTTGTTTCTTTCATCGGACTTTATTAGTGCTACACAAGAAGCTCCTCTTTTTTCTTCGTCTGTTTCTTTTTTAACGTTCAACTTCAATCCCTCTTAATTTTGGACATAGTGAACATTTGCAGTATTATAGATATGATTTTTATATTATCAAAGATGAAAATTATAGACAAATACAATTGAATTAGAGAATGCAATTCTGGCGTGGCATTTGTCATGCGGGATCAAGGAGAAATGGTAATAATACCAACACCGATGCAATTATGTGCTTCCTGTTTCTAGCAAGAAATTGTTCGTTATTGCAAGTCATGCTGATTCAGATAAGTACTGTACAAATCATTTTTCATTTCCTTTTTTGCTCTGTGTTTATTCTAAGATGAACATACAATGTGCATGTGCTTGATTACAATAACTTCACTGTCCATTTCTGTTTCTGTTTCTGTTTCCCTGCTTTTGCCGTCCTGTATGGGAGTTTGGAGGACTGAATTCTGATTTATGTTTGGTTTACCATCACATACATCTTTCTGATGCGCTAAATGGTTTTTATTATTTACTTCTGTGGGTGTTTTGCTTTATTCCATTTCAAGTGACTGAATTGCATTTCAAGTGCTCATATCGGAGTTATGGTTCACCTGATTTAAATATAGTTTCATAATAGTGGCATTTCCAAAAATTATTGGTCTGCAGGTACTTTGATAGAGACACCCATTTGAAAGATAAGTCTCCATTCATCTTTTTATGTATGTATCCCAGAAACTGCTGGTGGAAATAGATGAAAAACCATCTATCTTCTGCTATTTTAACTGGAATTGTTGGGTTGAGTCTGTTACCGTGAATAGCAGTGAACATGTGAATTCTTGTCAAAATGATTTTGAATTTTTATATCCGGAAATATTAAACGTATTAAAAGTTGTTGCTGCATTCTTTTGCATATCCAAGTATCTTTCTAATTTCTGTCTTGAGTTTCTTGATGATCAGCTCTAGGACTGCTTTTCAATTGTTTGACACTATTCATGTCTAGTTCCTTGTTTTAGTACATGCTTTCTGAAGAATCTAATCTGTTAATTTGTGACATTCATTATTGGAAATTATTACACAGATTAGATAGGATATCTTGCACAATCTTCCAACTGTACGGTTAGCTACAGAGCAATGCATAATCTACGAACCCGAACCAACACTAATTTTTATCTTACATCTTTAGTTTTTAGAGTAGTTTGCACATCTTGAACTCTTTCATAAAACAAACACACACCATTATCTAAACGTGACAAGGCTTAGACACCATAATTCATAAGCTCATGGTTTCTTTGGTTCGCCGAAAGAAACCTGGTTTGCAATTTTAGCTCCCCTTTCTTTGGCCATATAAAGCCCTACATGATGCATAAATTCCTGCCAAAGACCAAAATTAACCGTAGGAAGAAAGATACAAAACAAAGATATTTTTTATATAGATCTTGTAGATGTAGGTAAGGTTACCTGAGGATGCGCCAAAGCTCCTTTGGTGTTTCTGGCAATGTTAAGAGGTACATCAAAGGTTGCACAGGCACGAGAATACACCACCACCTCCTCCAGAGGGCCGAGGAACCCACGATTCTTGGCCGATAATGTTGAACAAACAAAATCCAGTACACATATATCTGTGCATACTCCCACTACCAAAATCTACACTGACACACAAAATTATGCTCAAATTAGGCTTTTGTGAACATTTTGATTGTGATTTGATGATATAAACTCAAAAATTTGTAGTAAGTGCTTACTGCTTTGATGTGATTGTTCTTCACCCAGTCAACGAAGACATTCGAGCCATCTTCCTCAATTGAACCCAGATATCCATCGAAACAGTCTTTGCGTCTCATTGTTACATTTGGTTCTTGCTCTAACCATTGTAAAGCTGCATTCATTTCAGTAGGGAAATTTACGTAACTGAGATGGACATGTTTTTTAATTATGTATTATTTCTTACTGTTTTTTTGTTTGTATTCATGCATGCTTGGCGTATTTGGGATGAAAAGTAGTTCTAGAACAAAAAGAACTATACACATACCAGGAACCAAATTAGATTCATCAGTTCCAGCAATACAGTGAGGAGGATATGGATCCTCAGGCTTGTTTGGATGATGAGAATCAAGAAATGCCAGAACTGGTAATCTTTTCTCGCAGAATTGTCTGGCTAGCCCTGCCGATTCATCGATCATCCCTGAAATTTGTCTATTGGGCTCCCTCGGTGCCTAAAACACAAAACATGAACCATTTCATATATCGTTAATCAAACTGTTATCAATATTCAACGTTAATTCCAAACCCCAAAAGAAGCAAAGCTGAATTATACAGCAGAAGACATGAGATAAGATGAAGAATTGCCAGATTTCCAGCACCAACAGTGCAGAAGCCATTGATTATGTCCACAAGAACAAGACCAGTGACAACATCATCGGGCAAAACCACCAACTGTTGATCAAGAGGAAGCTCATTTTTCAAGATATCAATTGTTTGGGACACCATTTTTGCTGCTTATTTCACTCACAAATCAAAATGTGAGAGACATTATATTACAAAGGATTAAAGGATGAGCGTCAGTTATAGGTGGGGGTAGACAAGTCCAAAAGGAAGATAGAATTTTGGTATTTGTCCAAAAGATATTTTATGGAAATGTAACTTTCTTGAGTTGAAATATGTTGATAAGGTTAAAACAATTACATCATCATTCAAATAATTCATAAGCTACGACTATGGATTGGATTAGAGCAATCAATTTGCATTTTATTTTCTACTTCATAATTATAATTAAGGGACCAATTTTAGTTTATAATTATCCATGTGAGTAAAAGACTTTTTCCCATCCAAGGTTTGCCTTAATGACACTTTCTCACCCAAAAAATTTCAACATGCTACTTTGTTACCCAAAGTTTATATTTTGTTATTATTCAAAGATGATTCCGATTGTGAAAATTCTTTCCATCACCACCATTTGAATCTCTGATCTCCTTTCTACAAAACTCCTCTTGCTCTAGTATTTGATTTTTCGAGCTATCACAAAGTTAAAGTTTCTTGTTCTTACTTCTTAACTGATTTTTTATAGTAAATATTCAATTAATCGCCACCACCTTCACTTTACAAAACCACTTTTACCCTAGTTCTTGACAACTCGTCGAACGTCGTGCGGATGAAAAAATAAAGTATATTTTAGGTATTAACGGAACATAAACTTTGAATGAAAAAGTGGTATTTGAAACTTTTTTAATGGGAAAAAGTCGTTTACTCTATGGATGTTGATTGGATGTGAGTATTTAGATTCCCATCATATACCCACCTCTATAATAAATATCCAAATTTGTCTCATTATCCATTCTTAAGAAATGGGGTATGACGAGTTTGATTATTTTTTTTATAGGGAAATCTTATTTTGCCCCATTTTATTAATTTGTTTAATAGAAAAAAAAAAATCAAAATCCAATACTATATAATATACAAAACATTCTCAGAATAAATTAATTTAAAATATAATATTGTCTAATATTTAATATATATATATAATACGTTGCATATATAAAAAGTGAAGAATTAAGGGGAAAAAAAAAGAAAAGGTAACATTGCATATCTATTAAGAGTTTTATAATACTGGCATAAGTATAAATGATAAAAGAAATATAATTGATGTTAAATATAATCATAGATTTTTGGACGTAAAAGTTGGTATTCAAGAAATACACTTTGAATTTGGTTAATGATAATTTGCCCATCAGATGACGACATGCCAAAAGAGTATTTTGCTTAATTCTAGCTCAGCTTCCTTCAATCTTCATGAGAAGAAATTAATATAGCTTTATATTGAAAGGACTTAAAACCTATAAATAGATTATTATTACTTCTTTGATAATTATTACTCTGTGAGAGTTTATTTATCTATTTTTAATACTTGATATTGGTTAAGTTTACATTTATAACAAGAGGCGGTGACGTTTTACTTTTAAAAGATCAGGGAGGTCATTGATATTACTTTCTTATAATTTAAAAATCCTATCCGATGTTATCTCTTTTATTTCCCCTCCTCGGCCATTCGACACGCCGACACTCAACGCCAATTTATTTAAGCATAAATCATTCAAAACTCCAACCAGATTCTTCTAAACCCATATCAAATCCTCATTTCATCTTCAAATGTTAACTCTAATCAACAATCCATCTCAATCCCATTGACATAACATGCAAATTCAATCTCTCACCTCACCTTTTTTCCACTCAAAAACCACTCTTTTCCCGCCAAAACCACACTTTCCCTCGCCTAACAACCTTCTTTTCAGACAAAGAATGGCTTCTGGTTCTGGGTTTGGGCTAGTTAGATCAGAAAAGGTTAGTTCTTTGACCGTTTTAGACGATGGTGCAAATGGGTTTTCTACTTTAATGGATTATGCGGGTAAGGGAGGACTGAATGTGGGAGATGATCTGGTGGTTTTGTTGTATCATATTCAGTATGCTTGCAAAAGAATTGCTTCTCTTGTGGCTTCTCCTTTCAACTCAAGTCTTGGTAAACAAATTGCTGGTGGGAACATTGGCTCTGATAGGGATGCACCTAAGCCCCTTGATACTGTTTCAGTAAGTTTTCTTCTTATATTCTCTTGCTCTTTTTTTTAATATAATTACAAGATGCTTGTTTTAATTGTTTAATGCTGAAATAAGATAAAGGAAATTAGTTTTGAGCTTAGCAGTTTTTTGAATGTTATGTATATGTTATCTGTATACAAGTTTCATGTGATGATATATATATTCTAGATACTGTTTGTAATGATGTGATTTTGTAATAGCACAATTTAGTTCTTGATTTTAGTGACTATGTGTTGGTCATGTCCAGCAATTTCGTTTATCACTAATTTCAGCGTGAAAATTGTACCTCTTTAGCGCAATTGAACATATAAAGCAATTTTTAGTGAGATTTATGGCTTGAGAAGTACAATTTTTATTTTTGGCTTGGTAGTCTAGTTAGAAAAAGTGAACTTTTTGTGTTGCTCTTGGAGTAAAACACACGGTTATTGTGTGGTCATTGATCAATGAGAATATGAACCGCCTTTTGGTACCCAACTAAGCAGAACCTTACTTGGGATAATTCTTGGAAATGGCTCTCTTTTTACCTTAATCGACATTCCTTTCCATCGTTTAGGATCAACAATCTTGTTATGGACGTGCTAAGTGTCGTTCTATGAACCTTAGTAATTGTGGGTGTTTTGCCATAACTTTGTCCTACAAATGTTCTAATGAACATCATTATTAGATAGAAACTGATTCAAATGAGAATTTTGGTATGTTTTACCAGCCTGTTGTAGAGTTCCAATCTGATTTAGTCCTCTCTCACTCAATCTCATTAATGGAGATCATAGGTTCTAGTTTAGCTGCTTCAGTAAGTTTGGGTTCATAATTATTTATAAATGAAACATGAATATTAACTTAATTCATATTTGTCTTAATCGTCAATTAATTTAGAGAACTTAGGAGATTATTTACTAATTTGCCAAGCTTTTCAACACCTATTTTGAGACAATTTAAATACCTTGCATCTCATTTCAGTGGCTAAAGTTTGTATCCAAAAATTGTAAGATTTCACATGTGATGCTTTACTCATGAAAATGAATTTATTTTTTGATATCCAAACATGAATAGCCCTTCTGTTTTGATACAAAATCAGGTCCACCATCAACAAGATATGTATAATTAAGCATTATATCTGCATATATATTTCTTTATGTTGTAAAAACTCCTCAATTGGGCTAAGGATGGGGATTATACTTCCAATTTGTTCCATATGGTTAGTGGGAGGAAAATCATACATGTTGTTAGGCCATTCCATGAGACATCTTTGTCCTTTGGGTTAAAACAAGAACATGTTTTCAATAACACAAATTGCAAGAAGCATTCATCTTATCCGTAATCCTTTCTTCTGAGATCTATACTATATTCTCTATTTCTTATAAAAGAAAGTACAATAAGTGAATATATTAATCAATGAGTATATTTATAAATAAAAAGAAAATACAATAAGTGAATATATTATTCAATGAGTATATAGTCACCTCTTTTATGATGTTTGGCTTAGCAGCACCTTGTGTAAGGGATTTTGTAGGGATTACCTGATTGCTACATTCACACTTTGCTAGACATACCAGCTCTTTGGGCTTTTTTTATGCTTAATAGAGGATACGGCGTTTTTTTTTTTTTTTTTTCTTAAGCAAATGGAAGAACCATAAAAGAATATCATTGTAAAGGAATAATTATTTGATCAATTATAGATCTCGTTTACTCCATTGATGACAATAGTCATGATTGATTAGCTATTCTTGAGAACTTTATCAGCAAGTCTATGAACAAAATGGTGCCTCATTCAATTTGTTTTTTAAAATTTAAAAGACATGTCCAGCATAACTTAAACTCATATGACAAATGTTTATGAGCCTGATCTTCATCAGAAGGCTGTATCAAGTTATGGTTTGCACCATTTAATTATGCATACTGTATTTAAATTTTCCAGAAAAAAGTACATATATTTAAGTAGATATCTCTAGAAAATGTAGAGCCATGGATATATTAATGGAATTTTTACAGAAAGTTTAGTTATTGGAATGATTAACATTAAGACGTAATCCTATTGAAGTTTCAATTTACAAAAACTGTTTTCAACTTCCTTTGTGACTGTACCATGCCCATTTTCTCCATAGCAAATTGCATTTCTTTGCCTTATAAGACTACTAGTGAAGGAATACTTCTCATGATAAAAAATTCTTCTTGCGCAGAATGAAATCATCTTGTCATCTCTTCAGCATTCTGGAAAAGTTGCAGTCATGGCTTCAGAAGAAGATGATTCTTCAGTCTGGATAAATGCTGATGGCCCATTTGTGGTGGTTACAGATCCACTTGATGGTTCCCGCAACATAGATGCCTCCATACCCACTGGAACTATATTTGGGATTTATAGGCGCCTTGTGGAACTAGATCATTTACCTGAAGAGGAGAAAGCTCTACTGAATTCTCTGCAGAGTGGAAGTAGGCTTATTGTTGCTGGATATGTTCTCTATTCCTCAGCCACAATATTCTGTGCTAGCTTTGGATCGGGAACACATGCGTTTACACTAGATCATTCAACAGGAGATTTTGTTCTTACACATCCGAACATAAAGATACCTCCTCGAGGTAACATGATAGAACTTTATGCTAAGAGTATCTTAAATCAGAAATCTTACATCATCAAGATTCATGTGACCTTCAGGACAATGACTATTAGCATAATCAGACTTTTAGTAATTAGTTTTTATGTGTTTCATTTAGTTGGTATTTTGAGGGAAACTATCAGGACCTATGTATGGTAAATTTTGATAGCATATGGTTTTATCAGAAGGTCACCATAATTGGTTCACATTTTCACGAGAACAGCATAAGCACTACCAATCATTAATGATATCCTCCATTATCAAATTAATCAAATAGGTTCTTTTCACTATTTCAGGGCAAATTTATTCTGTAAATGATGCGCGATACTTTGACTGGCCTGAGGGTTTAAGGAAATATATTGATACTGTGAGACAAGGAAAAGGCAAATACCCCAAGAAGTATTCAGCACGTTATATATGTTCTTTGGTTGCTGACTTCCATCGAACTCTGCTGTATGGTGGAGTAGCAATGAATCCAAGGGACCATCTTCGGCTGGTGTATGAAGCAAATCCTCTTAGTTTTCTGGTGGAGCAAGCTGGTGGCAAAGGTTCTGATGGTAAAAGTCGGATTCTGTCAATTCAACCAGTCAAGCTTCACCAAAGACTGCCTCTATTTCTGGGGAGTTCAGAGGACGTTGAAGAGTTAGAGAGTTATGGAGATGTTCAACAAAAAGTAAATCCGGGGTATGAAGTTTGATGCTAACTGATATCTGAAGTTGCGGTAAAGTTCTTCTATATATAACTCATTGTTTACTTCACACCTGTGTTTGTAGAAAATCATTCCAAGCTCCAGTTTCTTGTAAAATTCCAACTTTTTCCTGTTTCTGTTACTGAGCGTAAAGTGGTTTGTCGAAATGGAGAATAAAGAGTATTTCCACCTTGACTTTTTTCTTGGTTCTTTTTCACATGTAAAGGATGTTCCTATATACAATGAAGCACCATAAGCTTCAATATTCGAGCATCTTATAATACTACACTTCTCAATGATCCCATTTTCATTTACCTCTTAAACTAATCCCAGTTTCATATAAAGAATTGTAGTCTTCAAAATCATTGTCGGCGAAAATGATTAGCCAGAACCCGCCTTCAGTCATGGTGGCTTTCACCCTCTTTTCTTATTCCACCATTACTGAAACAATTTCCTGTTGAAGAATCCTCGTTTATAATCCATGTTTTTTTCATGGACAATGCACAGCCCAGAAATTTCTCTGAACCTGGAACTCAAAAGTACCCTTTTTAACAAATAGTTCAACATGCAATTTTTGGTCAATACATAGACATCAGAATTTGAGGGTGATCGAATCAACTCACTGAACCCAACCTGAGTGGAACTAAGGAAGAGAAGAGGCTTCCTAGAAGAGAACATGCTTTTATAATCATTCAAAAAGTAGGAAAATTTATTGTTCATCTTTTTACAAAACAATGTCATTTCACTTTGATTTTGGACCAAAAAAAAAAAAAAATCATGAATTTTAGGACGAAACAACAATTTTCATATGACTTTTCACGTGGTTGATGGAAGTTACTGACAGTTGTGTCTGATAATGTTACAATGAGTTTGCATTTTAGAGGGATAATAACATTTTGGTCCCACGATAATCTTTTAAGTTTAAGAATTCTAAAATATAAATAGATAAAAAAAACCACCTTCTTATTGTTTTTTTCTCTTCTATTTCGGACAAAAAATGTTATTATTTGAAAAAAAAAAAAAAAAAAAAAAACTCATATTCACATAAATATGGTTCCACATTTCTTTTTGAATAATTTATCTTTTATTAATAAATAATAATCAATAATACTACGTTCATAACCAAATATACAAAATGATTTTGATTAGACCAAAGAAACGGTCGTTTTTTATGAAATAATGGTTCATTCCTCACAAAAGGAATGACTGTTCCTTCGTAAAGAACAATCGTTCTTTTATGAAGGAATGACCGTTCATACCAAAGAAGTGGTCGTTCGTCTCTAAGAAATGACTGTTCGTATTTAGTTAAAGTCATTTAGTAGGTGTGGTGGGTGATGAATAATTTTACAACCTCGTAAGTGCACAAATCGCTCTCATAGTCTAGTATGCAAAAGCAAGGCTCAATCTCATATAGATTTGTAAGCATTTTACTAATCCTAACAACTATGCTTCAAATAAAAATAATAATAAGACTTAATAATAAAGAATTAAGAAAAATCACTTTAAAAGCAATGACTGAATAAAACTAAAATTAAACAATTATTAAAATTATCTAAATCCCAATTGACCAAAACCTAGGGCTCCAATTTCACCATAACTGTCCAGTTCTATGTCAACCATCTATCTATTGTTTATCAATTCACTCTCTAGGGTTCACACTCACTAAATCAAGGTATTACCATAAGGCTTTTGTGATTAACCTAGTATTTTTAACACAAAACCAGCTAGGGCGTATAGTCTAGCCTATGAATTAAAAACCGATTAAACACAGGAATACTTGAAATTAAGAACAAAGGCGCATCTATCAGGGCGTATGTGCAGACACTAATTATTCAAGAAATCATGAACCTACTAATACTCTGCCAAGGCGTATGCACAAAGTACTAATCATTCATTCACACGAGTTCTTCAAGACTAAAACGTATTATATGTCTAATCTCAACACATACAATCTAATAATTTACACTAAGTGTCGTCACACAATAATGAATATTAAAGATTACGATAATAACGTGAATGAATCAAGATTTCCATTAAATTGATAACAATAACAGATGTTTAACACATAGCCTTCCAATTAGGCTACATTGGATTTTTAGAGAAGAAATTAGTTACACATTGACATCAAGAAAACAAACCTCAATTCCCCCAAAAGCATGACAATCCAAAACCCTAGGAAGAATCTCCTTATGTTTCTTGCTACCAAGTGACTCTCGATTTAGGTCAAAGTGTCCCTAAAATAAATTATAAAGTCCTATTTATACTTTTCCTTTACTAGGGGTGCTTTGGGGAAAATACAAGTTCAAGCCGGAGTTGAGAAGTACTGTGAGATTTTTCCTTTCTTCGCGATCCATGCTGCGACATGCTTTTATGGCGTTGTAACATTGAATTCTCCCACAATCCTAAAAACCTTGTCATGCCGCAGCGCCGACTTCTTCACGCCTCGGTGCCGCGACATAAACCTTCTACCCAGATCACTCTTTTACGCCACGGTGCAATAAAACCTTACTACGATGCCATCTAGTTATTTCACATTTTTCTTCCTCTTGATAATTTGGTTTCTCTCTCTTAGCACGTCCAAGGCCTCCAACCATTGTGCGAGCATAAAATCATCACCTTTCCACCTAAAAACCTGAAACTCATATACATACCCGTGTTTCTTAAAAATAGAAATATATAAAGAAGCTTGCATAAAAATAATCCTTTAAAGTCATGAATTCCATACAATCTACCCATTAAATCATGATATATATATATAACATTTCACCACTCATCACAACCCCCAACCAACGTTTTGCTAGTCTCTAGCAATCAAAGTGATCGAAAATAACCTAAGCCTATTCTAATACTTTAAACTCAACTCTTTTCATAGGTTGACACGGTTGCATTTAGCGTATGCAATAAGCCTTTAAACCCCTAGGTCCCCCTAGTGGACAAGTTATAGTCTCGTGAGGGTTTACAGCGATGCTATACACAAACATCCAACAAATCCTAACTAACACACAAACATTCACACATAAAATTAAAAAAAAAAAAAAAAACTTTTCCAACTAATGCATATAAGTGTCTCAAAAATCGCATACACACACAACATAGAGAATAATCAAACATCATCTCAAATCTAGGAACATCCCAAACATCAATCTCACCTTCGTTCTCAACTGTCTAACTAACATCCATCAATCCACAATCTATCAATTCTAACACTAGAGATAATTCCTTCTGCAACATCCATAGACAAAAAGTTGATCCCAATAATTATGAAATATTAATAAAATTATGTAACTACAAATTTTATAGGCCCACTTTTCAACCACTCTCTACTAATGTAGAACAATCACACAACTTTAGATCATTAGGACTTTATTGAGCTTGTAATGTTTAGGCTAAGGTATTGGGTTATGAAAGAATGGAAAGAAATCAAACAAAATAAGAGGATTAATCTTACTTATTTGCAACAACATCGCTCAAAGCATTTCACATTCTCTCTAAATTTACCAAGCCTTTGTTACATCTCTCTTCCCGACTGCATTTGCATTTACGCACTTTCCATACTTCCTTGATTCATTCTTCTCTCTCTCTCTCTTTTCCTTTTCTTTTTCTTCCTTTTTTTTCAGATTTTTCTTTTCTTTTCTTTTTCTTTTTCTTCCCTTTTATTTATTTATTTTTTTTTTCTGAAATGAAACTATAGTTAGGAAGTATGGATATTACAATCATTCCCCTTGTTACCTTGATATTCACAATACACCACAACCCCCAACCCATTCTTTTGAATATCCTTCAAAATTTTGAGATAACACTCTAAGCCACACACGAACACTCTCACTTTGCATAAATTCAGATTAAATCCTCTTAAAAATCATGGGTAGAATAGTGTGTTTAAGGGTTAAAAGGGTATGTTATTGTGGGATAAATGAAAGAAAATCAAGGCTAATATAAAATCAATATTGGCACAAAGGGGTGACAAGAGATAATAAAATGTAGGGTTGGCTTGAGAGGCACAAATAGTCCAAAGATAGCCTAAGTCATTTTTTTAGTCATGTGTCGTCTAGGATTTCGCCTCAAGTGGTCATCAAATAGGTTCTAGAACTTGGGGATCTCAACAATGTCATAGGATAATCACACACAAAACACCCTAATTGTTAGAACTAACCCTCCTTACAAAGCACATTCATGAAAGTCTCAAACTTAAGCAAAACCAACATTCAAAATTATTCTTAAACTAAAGTAAAATTTGACTTGTTCTAAATGCCTATATCATTGCAATCATGTTATTATCATTGACATATAAATTAATTCAGAAAAGCTGAAACACACTCAATTAAAAATAACATAAAAACACACCAAATCTAAAAAAAATTCACAAAAATTAAAAAAAAAATATTCACATAAATTCAATTAAGAAAATTCAGGAAAAGGGAACTTTCCCACCCCTAACCTAAAACCTACATTGTCCTCAATGTAACAATTAGAAAGGAAAAACAGAGAAGGAAAGAGAAAGTTACCCCCCTTTTAAAGACATCAAAACCTGTGTGGCATCTTGGAACCATTTGCATCACGTCGCGGCATCAAGTTGTTGCCCAAATTGCATTATTTCTCTTTCTTGCTCCGCTGCAGCAGAAATATGTTGTGCCGCGATGTGAAGCTCTTTTCCTACAAAAAAATAAACCATAAAATACAATGAAATAACCTAAAACAAAGCAATGAAAACACTTGAAAACTAAAGAAAATAAAACCATAAATGAAATTAACATAAAATTCAAAGTAAGAAAAGTTGGGTTGCTTCCTAAGAAACACTTTATTTAACGTCTAGGCTAGACAAAATGCGTGATCTATCAGGCTCAATCATTGGAATCTGAGGGAAACGCCAACGAATTGAAAACTAAGAACTCCACTGTTTCCTCCAAAACCATCATGGTGAGTTTGCCATTCTAAACATCAATCATTGTCTTAGTTGTAACCATAAATGGGTGGCCAAACAAAATGGGTAAATCTCTATCATGAGTTGACGACTTCTCCATATCTAAGACTACAAAATCAACAGGAATTATCAATTTATCAACTTTAACTAAGACATTCTCTACAATACCTCTTGGATATTTAACTGAATTGTCAGCCAGCTGTAGAGACATTATTGTTGGCTTTAATTCGCCCAATCCTAATCACAGATAAGTGGAGTAAGGCATAAGATTAAT